TGGTACTGAGGAACCTGTCTTCTTCATCTTATACTTTTTCTTACGGGCACACATTAGTGCCCATAGGGATACATGGTATATATGAGCAATAGAAAGATCTGGTACACAAATATGAAGACAAAGAAAGCCTTAAGTAGCCCTATTTTGTGTTCAGTGCACAATCGGTTGATTTAAAATCAAGAGGACAGAAAAAGATCGCAGTCTGTCTTTCTCCCACCTTAGAAAGTCTTTTATAACTTAATATCTAGTGAGCAAGTAGAAAATTTGCTTCCCCTACAGCCTGAATAGATTAAGGGCTAGACACAATTCCTCCACAGCCTCTGAAAGTGTAGCTTGCATAGTCAGCTTCTCCCAGGCTAATATTTTTGAGACTTTATGTAATTAGAGAAATTACTAATGAATTTTCCTTTTTCTTTCTTGGCTTTTCTTTTATTGTATGATATTAAATACAGTGAATAGTAAATAATCATTGAGAATAGAAATGGCTTTCCCCATTTTCCACCCACTTCCCTACCAGTCATCTAACATCCAACCCTCTCCCACTACTGAATCTGCTGCTCCAGCACCCTTTATCCCTTGCCATATATCATAGAATCAAATAATAGAATCATAGAATGGCCCAGGTTGAAAGGGACTACAATGATCATCTAGTTTCAACCCCCTTGCTATGTGCAGGGTCGCCAACCATGAGACCAGGCTGCCCAGGGTTGCATCCATCCTGGCCTTGAATGCCTTCAGGGACGGGGCATCCACAACCTCCTTGGGCAACCTGTTCCAGTGCTTCAACACCCTCTGTGTGAAAAACTTCCTCCTAATATCTAATCTAAACCTCCCCTGTCTCAGCTTAAAACCATTCCCCCTTGTCCTATCACTATCTATCCTCGTAAACAGCTGTTCCCCCTCCTGTTTATACGCTCCCTTCAAGTACTGGAAGTCCACTATGAGGTCTCCCCAGAGCTTCTCTTCTCCAAGCTTAACAATCCCAGTTCCGTCAACTTTTCTTCACAGGAGAGGTGCTCCAGCCTTCTGATCATCTGCAACGTTCCCACAAGATTTCACAACTTATGTGTTAGCTAATATCCTGGATCAGAGCAGGGTAGCTTTTGAACGTATCATCTTTATCGTGGCACACACCCTTATATAGGCTGCAGAAAGGTGGTCATCTCAGTCAGTTGAGCCTTACTGGCAGCTACAGAAGAGGACAGGGTTAGTTTTAGTTTTTTTTGGTTCACTACCAAACCTAAGGCAAGCGGCCATATTAATCAGCCAGGAAGCACAAAAGAAGCCCCAGAGAGGCCACCCTCACAGCTTTTTCTTATCCTCTTCTGTTTCCTAATTTGTTCATTTAAAGTGCTTTGAAAAGGATAGATGGGATAGAAAATGTTTTAAAATTATGGTAGGTTTTTGTTGTTTTTTTTTTTTAGTGACGTTTAGCGTATTTTTTTTAAGGCTAAAATTTTTTTCTGCCTTTCTGGAGCATGTTACCTATGCAATGAAAAATTTCCCCACAGTTTATATTTCACTCAGGCACAAGAACCTTGATAACAAATCACAGTTCAAGGTCTTTTCTTGCGTGAGCCATTCTCAGATCACTACAGACTCTAACTTCACACCTGCATAAATAATACATCCAAATATTCAGCTGCCCGGTCTAATATTTAATGAAATTCACAAAACGGGTGAAACGGTGCTACAAAGACATGAAAAACAATCAAAAAGCATCAGTGCAGAACAGAAATGGATATGTTCTAGTCTGGAACATTCATCATTCCAAAAGGGCATTCATATTCTGGAGACTGAATGAATTTTTGCCATGAGTACACTGTTAAAAGGTCAGTGCACATGAAAAAAAAACAAAACAAAACAAAACCAAATGAAGCCACATTTCTATGTTTTTTAACTGTGTTTTAAAAAAAGTCCCTTCTCATTTTCAAAATAATAAAAAGGCAGGAGGATACAAAGGAAGTTTGGGAGTTACACTTCAGTTTTATGAATATCTGTATTCAAATAATTACGATATCCACATAAATAGATAATTCCACTAGCTTCTGAGCAAACCTTATTAAAAGTAAACTATAAGGAGACATCTTTAGAAAGAGCAAGAGAGCATCAGTTAGTGATTTCAGCTGCTGCTGTTTTTTTTCCAAATCTTCTCCCAGAAACATTCCCCAAGATACATTGATTTCTTGTTGAACGCTGTCAACTTCATCCACCTCACTGGCTTTATTTGCTATCTCTCTAAAACAAAATTGCTCAGAAGCAGTGGTCGTATTCTCAGCTATACTGATGTCTTGGAGTATTTCCTTTGAGACAAAAATTGTTTTGAAATGAGCTTTTTGATTACTTTAAAAGCCTCATGGTGGAGTTAATCTGACAAATCATATCATCTTAATGAACACCTAAAAATGAGCAGATAGGTTGCAATCTAAAAATCTCTATTCCCACAGGCTACCATAAGCTGAAGCTTCTTGGAAAAGACTGTTGTTACCACAAACCTGTCCTTACACTGCTGGGGCAAACAACACTTTTGGAGCACAAGCTGGGCTCCCCATGTTGCATCATGCTGTGTTTTTTGCAATTGCTGCTCACCCGGCACTACCTCATACGCTGCTGCAGCATGACACGGCATTGTGCCATAGAGGAGCTTGATGTGGCCTTTTCTGCTCCTGTGAATTACAGTAAGGGATGCTAAAATGTACTTCCATCCCTCTGGTGGCTTTTGTGAAACTAGATCAGCCAGTACCTAAAAAGTTATTAGAACATTAAAAGCACTAACAAATGTTCATTACTTTTTGCAATTGCAAATTAATGTGGTAAGTAACACATTTAAGCAGAAGAAAAACCAGTACATTAAATCCTGATGATCTGTATGTCTGCAATAAGATAGAATATTTCCATTACCTGATTTTCACGAAGTTTGCAGTGCATTCTTCAAATTTTGATTAATAGCACCTTTTAATACAGCTAGCAAATTAAAATGCAGAAAATGATCATAGTCCATTTATCATGCTGATTGGTCTGCAAATCTCATCTTACTATTGGGGAGAGAAGACAGCTGTTGCAGCTGTTTATTACTGTTAATATCACTATTATTATTATTAATGCAACATTATTACGTGTTTACAGACATGTTGGAAATTCATGTTGAGGGCATTGGGATTTTTCAGAGCTAAGGAGAAAAAAAAAGTCAGCATGAAATATGTGTGATTTTGCTGGATGTGCTGAATTTGTAACAGCTCTCAAAACTGACTAGAGATATTCTGAGGGTTGATAATGTACACACATGCACCCACATTAAATGTAATCCTAGACTGTACTTCAAATAAAGTTTTTCAAATATGTGCAAAAAGATTCCTGAAGCCATAAAATTCTGCATTTGAACTAACTAGCATTGCAAGTAATACAGTTTTGTTTCACTGGAATTTGTCATGTGTTGCAATTGGGCAGGTCTGCTGAAACAAGTCATGCACTGTGGCTCTTTAGCCAGCAGATATAATGAAACATCAATTCTGACTTTCTGAAATCTCCATAGACCTTTCCCCTCCTCCAGTTAAATCTGCTTTTCCTGAGTAAGAATCTCAAGAAATCTAGGAATTGGGCAGCCAAGGCTTCCATGCTCCAATTGCATTTAACTGTGTCAAATCCTGTACTTCCGTATAGTAGCTCTCACTTCAGCAAATTATGAGCACGTGCACAAAAGCTTAACAATGTATTTCCTGATACAACATTATATGACAGTCATATCTAATTCAAGTGCTGATAAGGTGCATCATCTGAAACGGGCAAAGCTATTTGACAAATGGGATTATGGTGATGGATTGGGTCGATGCTTGGCAAATAAGTTCAGAAATTGTAAAATGTTGATTAACTTATAGCTAGTAGCTTCACCTGACACTGCTAGCTCTGCCATTTTCCTGAATATAGTGTTAGTCAGTTAAATTATTTCATAAAAAAATAAAAATCATAGTAATTCATTATTAGCAGAGAAACTATCACCCAAAGATAAGACTTGTCAATTGTGGCTTCATTTGTGATAAATACTCATGCTAACAGGACATGAATTCTCCTTTAAAAACAGTAATTTGGGGAACTGAACAGGATTCCAGGGCTGATAGGCATTGCAGCCATCCTGCTGGGTTACAAATGTAGAAAAGCTCACTTTCAGTGCCTCTTATCTGGACAGTGCAGCTTTCAAAGGCATTTGTACCTTCTGGACCTAGAGATATAAAGTTGCATTAATAGCTCCAGCTTTACTGCTCCGAGGCAGACTAAGGGAATTAATGGACTTTTTAAAAGAGTAACTGGCTGGCTACATTTTGAGAAAAAGTATATTTTCTTCTCCAAAAATTAATTAAAAAAAAAAAAGTAAAACTCCTTAACTGTATCAGTTAACTCAACACTTCCTGCAATATGACTGCTTTTGGGGCATCTGGATTAGGCAATTATTTTTATCTATTTCATAAATCAGTTCTGCATAAAGAAATGTGTTTTATTATTTGAGTATAGCCTAAAGGCCTATTTTGATACATACAAGGCAGGAATTTCACTTCAGGCTAGCACTCTCCCAACTAGATCTCCCAACAGCCTGAGACAACAGTAGTTTGTACCAGTGGCGATAATCTCATTGACAACAGAAAAATGAGAGGAAATTAAGTATTTAGTACAAGATCCACACGATCATTTTGTTTGTTTTCATCAAGCAGCAGGGCAGAACTCAAAGGTTTTCCAGCTTGTTGTTTCTCAATAAATGTCTATAAATTAGAATCTTCTGGTTTTAGCCATGTTCCACTCTCAAAAATATATCTGTGTAACAGATGCTGCTTTATTCATAACCTTCCCAAATCCATCTGACTTTGGAAGACTAAATCTATTCATGATCACACACATGATCTACACATGATCTTATTGTCTGGTAAAACTGAATTATGAGAAATAATACAAATGATGTCAGCCAAATGTGATTCTTAATTATATTTCTAATTTGAACACTTCATGCACATACAAAATACATCAAACTCATAATGAAAAGAAGCAGACAATGCCCCCATATATACAAAGAAGCATTTTAAATAACATTGTGTATGAGCACATTTGAGCGTATCCTTCCAAAATACATTACTGTCAGTCTTTCCCCTCTTCCATTGATGTTGTAGCACTCTGAAAAAGATCTTTTAGCTGTGAATACTCAGGGAAGTTGCAAGATGCGAGCTAGAAATTTAAACTTTTACTAAAAATTTAATGGAATTCTCCATATGTAACCACTAAAGGGATGAGGAGCTAAAATACAAACTCATATTAAATCAGGAATGCTTGTCTGCATATAACGTCCTGATTTCTACCTGAAATCTCAGAATGAGGCATAAAGTCATATTTTTTTCCATCAGGCCGAGATGCTGTTGTTCTTTATTTTCACAATCCATTAAAGGTACATTTGGCACCAGATACTAACAACTTAATCAGAAAAAAAAAAAAAAAAGATAAAATATAACTCCCATTACTACTGAAAAGAAGTGGGCTTCATAACTTATCCGAAGATATTAATAGCGTTTTAGCAGCTTTCCAGCCTTAGGGATGCCAGGGTAAATTTTACAGTGGATCAAATATAAATTAGAAATGCTTATTCTGTGTTCTCTCTGTCATAGTCTTTAGTGCTAAAGTTTTCCATGTAGTTGTAAATAATCAGAGATCATAACTGGAGCTAAGTTCCATTAAACTGCCACTGAAAAGTGAATTTAACCAGTCTTCTGTATCAGATCAAAGTTAGCAACCTTGCACATTCATGCAAGCCAATGCGCAGTGTCCATTTCCATCTCTCAGACAGGCAATCTAGCTAAACAAAGTACAAACTTCCTGATAAATTGTTCTCCTTAAGATGATGCTGATGGAAAGGCTTATCTGCTGTTTTACGAGCACTTGCTGGCAGTGTGACACAGGCTCTTTCCAAACTCTGGGACAGTCAGTTTCCAGAGGGGCACAGCAAGGCTTCCTACTCCTGCTCCGAGACCCTCTTACATAGTGCTTGGAGGGCACTGCATCAGCATCCATCCACTGCATCAGCAGAGCAAAGCTAGCAGATCTCTGTTCTCCAGGATGTTAATTCTCATTAATTCAAAACTCTGCTTTCTGATTAGAAGCTGAAGCTGTGCGTAAACCTCATTACAACTGGTGAATCCTTTGTATATTTTCTTGGCAGCATCAAAGTCTGTAACAGCTTGGCTATTTACTCTACTGGCATCATGTTTCTATTTGAGGAGTTAACTCATTTTTAACTCATTTGTGCTTATAACTTCCCTATTTTTCCACTAATGTATGTATTTCTTTCTATATATGCAGCCCATTTTGTAATACCAGATTTTCCAAGTAGTGAACTAATATATTTTCTACATTTTATGCAGCTGCTTTTGGGCTCAAATAAAAGTATTCTTTTGCTTTGTTTGTTTGTTTGTTTGTTGTTTGTTTGTTTTTGTTTTTGTTTGTTTTTAGGAAAAGTCTTGAAAGTCCTAGATTGTAAATTTACTACTTTGATCTCCTCCTAGTATCAATCACAAGAGCAGAAAAGAGCTCTTTTGACCAGAGATCATGCATCAGGAAATTTTGCCTGGATCAGACAACACTGTAGAAAAGCAACTGCATAATGCTGTTCCTGTTTCAGTCTACTTCCTAACTTTGTATTACTGCATTTAATCCCAAAAGTACATTAACGACATATAGTATTACTTTAAATGCTGTCTTTTCAGGATGAGTGACTTCCAACACTACCTTCTAAATCTGTGGATTTGGTACATAGAGACGAGAAGTGTATGCTGAAAACAAACCATCTGTGGATCAAGGAATACTTAGCTACACGTTACTTGAGAAAATATGATACCATCGGATTTGCTTTGTTTAGCCACAAGAGGGCAGTCGCTTAATTTGTGTTGTTAAGGCAGTGCCCATTACTAGAGACAAGATAGGCTTGCTTTCTGTCTAAACCATTATTCCAACATTTTGTATAGATGTGTAGAAGAATTTCATTCTCTTTGTGTTCCCAGCATGCACCTGACTTACATTAAGTTACTAGGTAATATTATTTAGCTGTAACAGTACACTGTGCTTTATAAATAACTGATGAGACAAATAACGGTGGGAAGTAAATACGGTTTCTCTTCATTATCTTTAGGAAAAGCAGGACACCATATTAACAAATCTCACTGCTCTCAGTGATGAATTTGAACTGGTCACAGTCAAAATGTAAGATCTTAAGACATGCTGCTTTTTAGAACTATGAGAAACTTGTGAAAACAATGAAAGATACACGTTCTATATTTCACCCTCTTGTGAATGCTTATTTGAATTTACTTAAATATGCCATCATATGCAACAATATACAGCACAAGCATGGTCCACACAGGAAACTGATTCAAGCACTCAAAGTCTGAAGATTGTCACATCCTTCCTAAAGCAAAACTCTGATTGCATTGACCTACTTAGAAACAGACAAAATTTTGTGTAAAATGCTTCTAAACAGTCATGAATGTACGGTATAACTTACCATAGTATATTTGTTTTCAGTCCTGATATTTTATACATATAAACCTGTTTCATTTACCAAAACCAAGCTGATTTTTTCCTCTTACTGAAGTCCAAATAAAATTTTGCCCAGAAACAGAAGATGGATTTTGTCCATCAAGAGTCAGCTATGTTCCTGGGCAACCGGTAGTGCTCTGGCCTGATCCTTGCCTTCTTCTCCTGAGGATTGGCATATTTCCACTTGGATGGAGACATTTTCAGCTTTTTTCTCTTCTTATCTGTACACCAGACTTTTTCACAGTATTCCTCCACTCTCTGGAAGTTGCTGTAACCTATCAGTTGAAGAAATTCTTTGTACCATGGTTTTGATACCTGAGGTATGTTGCTCTGCATTGGGCATGGCATTTTGTGAGATATCTCCTCCTCATAGTCTTTATTAAACATTTCATCTACACGTTCTTCCTCGACTATTTCCAGGGTGATTTTTCTAACAGTGTGAACTATGCTGTGTTCCACTGTCTGACAAAAATAAGTCCCTGCATCCAGCCGATGCAGCTTCAGAAATAAGAGGCCGAGGTCCATTTTGATTATTCTATCATCTGTCTTCACCTGAAAAGAGATAGTTGCATAGAGGAGAGTGCATTATTGCATTACACTGGTGCATTTTTTTAAATGAAAAGTACTTTCAGGAATATAATATTAAATGTTAAGAGGCAGATTAAGGATCCAAGACCCTTTATTTCACTGTTTGTAAGCAAATAAAATATTTACTTGAAGAAGAAGTTGAGCTGTGAAAGGAAAGCAGTCTACAAAATCTGGCAAGCATGACAGAACAGACAGTGGAGCAGACAGTTTTCTGCTTTCCCAGCATGGGTTAGTCATTCGTGGCTAAATCACAGAAAGAAGTAAGGTTGAAACATTCGAATGAACTTCTGGATGGAAAACACGTGGGCTTTTGTCAGCTGACCTGCCATAATTATCCATGTGAATGCTCTTTTAAATCGTCAAATGTTTTTGAAGCAACACTCACAGATCATAGAATCACAGAATCACCAAGGTTGGAAAAGATCTCCAAGGTCATCCAGTCCAATCATCCACATATCACCAATATTTCCCACTACACTGTATCCTTCAGTACAACATCTAATCGTTTCTTGAACGCCTCCAGGGTCAGTAACTCCACCACCTCACTGGGCAGCCCGTTCCAACACCTGACACTCTTTCAGATAAATTTTTCCTAATGGCCAACCTGAAATCTCACTGTAGGACCATCATGATCTTGAAGCCTCAGTTCCGAGTGTCATGTTGGAATTCCCCCTGCAGTTTCTGAGAACTAAGTTATTAAATACAGGGCATTCAGACATGCAGATATGCAGAGAGCATAGAGCTGTCTGAACCAGCCAGCAGAAATGCCCAGCAGAATGGAATTCTTATCTTTTTATTTAACAGTAAGATCTTGAATATTTGGTAGAAGCGCTTCTCTCTGCTTGGGATCATCTTTTTCTAATGACGATAGAATTATTCATGTAAAATGGAATAAATATAAAAGAAAAGCATTAAAATAAATTCATCCTAGTAGTATAAAAATGTACTGAAACTTTAGAGTCTGAATTTACACTTCTATTCCTTAGTATCTGAGATGCTAAGTCTAAAAGGAAACACAACACATCTCCTCCTCCTACCTCCCCAGTAAAAATCCTCAGGTTTCATTAAAGACTGAAAGACCAGGTCTCTTTATTGTAAGAATAATTATGATTAGTGGATTGGGATCTTCTAGGAAAAGACATGGGAAAATACAAAATATGAAGAACTATGCTGGGATTTGAGACTAGACTGAAACATCAGGAAGAAATGTGTTCATTTTAAATATCTACAGATGCATGTGGCATCCTTGTTTACTTTTGTATTCAACGGCTTGCCTAGTCAATGATGAAATGAAAACGTCTAGTTTAACACAAGATGATACTATGGGCTATATCTGCAACAAAAATTGCTCTGACATTGATGACAGCCTACAAAGACTAGAACCTACTTAGATCTCTTTATTCTAAATGTCCACGTTCAGTATCAGATTAATCTCTCTCCTCAGACTCAGTCTGCAGATGAGCTGGGGTCTCATGTTTGCAGCAGAGCCTAGCTGCTAGGCAACAAGGAAAACAGTTATAGCCTGTGATAGTCCGAGGTTTTTCTCCTATTTGCTACCATATACTAAACAAGGCTAGCTACACTGATATGTACCATGTCAGTACTATGGTAACAGTTATGAGGTGTAGGAATTATCATAGAATCAGAGAATTGTTTGAATTGGAAGGGACCTTTAAAGGCCATCTGGTCCAACTTTTACAATTAGGCAACATATATAAAAGAAGCAGAGAATCACCAAAATCCATTTTCAGAAGGCTTTGTGATGTAATGGGTGGGGCAGCAAGAATTAACAAATACTAAGCAAGTCTACCATTGGGAGTAATATGTACACTTTTCACCTATGCGATAACATATTAAGTGAAATGGTAGATTCTCTTTTGTTTTGAGACCTTAACAAGTTTAGCTACATTTCAAATATTTATTCAGTTATTCAATTTCATGATGCTGAACTCATGCACCAAATGAAATGACCAGGTCTATTAACTCAGTGAAGCATTATGACTCAGATGAATATCATGATCTTCCCTTATACTCATGCACATTTCAGCAACTGATGGCAGGCCTTTCAGTGAAGATGCAATGCTCGTAACCACATGCTTAACTAATTAAAAGATTAGGATTTAATGATAGTTACCTCTTCCTTCTTAGTTTCATGGGCTCGCTGGACAAACCAGATTACTTTTGCCTGTAAGGTTCGAGGGGTGCACTCCAGAAGGGTGCTGTTGTACTCTATTCCATAAACCAATCTCTCCTCAGTCTTCTCCAAGACTTCTCCTGGAGGGAAATGTTTTAAAAAATACATCATATATAGGTCAATTTGTTTCTGACAGTTCTTGCCACCTTCTGACTTCAGGCTGGACTTACTTTTAAGACTGAAATTTAATCTACATCCAATCACATAGTTATTGCAAAGCAGCACCTGGTGAAAGTCTGACTTGCTAAGAGAATTTTCCCATCATCTCAGACTCTCATAGAAGATGGCCATAAAGCAAGTGGAGCAAATTGGGCTATGATTCCACACACAAAGAAACAGGTCTCAGCCCTTCATACTGCTATTTGCTTGTGGCTGTTTCTTATCAGCTGTTCAGCTACTTGATTTTCAGTCACTTAAACAGAAGGATATAATATATGTTCAAGTATAACCACAAATTAAATCTTTTATCTGGATAAAAATAACAACGCATAGCCTTTTGCCTTTTGGCAAAATCTGTACTTTCTGTGCTAGGTATTTGCTAACAGTTTGTAAAGGTGTGAGTAGATTACCAATGAACTGCTGACCAAAGCACTGCTGAGCTGCATTTCCATGTCGTACATCTTGTCTGCGGAAGCGTCTGGAGAGGAAAAATAAAATTCCTTGAGAAAATGTGCTTGGCACAGAGATTGTTGGTGTATGATGAGGAGGTATTCACTAAAAACATAAAGAGCGAAATCTTGGTTCCTAAAAATGTAGCACTTTTGAGAAAGATACTCATTTATGTTTTATCTCAACCTACGTATGATTGCATCTATAAGAAAAAAAAAAGATCTTCCAACAGAGGAGGCTTTTAAAGTTCATCTACACAAGGTGTTAGACAGTCTTGCCTAGGTCCTGCACTTATCATGAAAGGTTAGATGATCTCAGAGGCCATTTCCAACCTGGGCATTCCAAGGATTCTATGATTCTTTGTTTCAAACAACTCTATATGAATACACACAAGGCAGATTTAATAATAGGTACAGATAGACTTCATTGAAATTATTAGGACCTCCTTCTATTTTATGATGTTGGCCCACAATGTCAGAGGTGGATATTGGTAGTATGGAAGTAGGGATCAACCTTCCTGCCTGTATTCCACTACATTTTGTTGCTGTGAGACAGATGGCACCAGAGAGGCAGTCTGACAGAATGGTACCTGACATGGAAGTACGTATGAAGCAAAAGTGTGTCACTGAATTCCTCTGTGTGGAAAATACTGCACCCATCAATGATTACTGGAAATTTATGGAGACCAAACAGTGGATGTGAGCGTAATAAGGCACGTGGTAGAATCTCCAAATTCAGCAAGGACAACATGGGGACCTCTAGGCAGACTAGGTGTTAAAAAATCCATGCTTTTAAGCAGAAGCTGATATTCAGTGATAGCATTTAATTCATTCTGGGATTTTCATTTTAATGTAAAGATGTGGTAGCTGTGCTTACTGATAACTCTGTTAAGTGTTAGTGGTAGTACTACCAGCTTTGCATATCAGTGCATATAGATTATTCATAAGACTCATTCTCTTGCACAAATATGCACAAATATGCACAAATAAAATTGACATTAACCTTGAAAAAAACAAATAAAGATGAAAACCTCACTGTGAGGCAGCACTATTTGATAGGAAATGGACAGTGAGTAGGTAGGTACTTAGTATTCTTCCTGATGAACTAAAAAAATCCTAGTTCTGCAAAATAACAATATTTTTCCAGTTGTTGTAGCCATTCAGGAGAAATAAATATTTCTTTGGTGGCATTTTGATGGAGATGAGGGAAGATGCATTTACCTGTACCTTCACTTCAGTGCTGTTTCAAGAATAGGAAAGAATGGGGAGCAGTGACAACAGAGTGTCAGCAGAGTGACATTTAAGTTATCACCCAGATCCTTTCTGTGCAAAGCGTTTTACTCAAATGACAGCATATAATTTAAGGCAAGACAATTTAAGATATTTTTCAAGGCATTATAAGAAGAAACTTAAAAAGCAACTGAATGCTTGAAATATTCTTTTGCCTATCAGCTTGATTAATGCTGTGAAAGGAAAACCGTATTGCAGCAGCAATACGGAGACTTAGGAAAAATCCTAAATTGTTAGCATAGCGAATAAGCTCATCAGTGGAATTTAGTGCTTGTTTGGATAAAAACTGAACCTGCCTAAATCAGATTACTGAGGTAACAGTGAACTAAGAGAGCTATTTAAATCCTGGAACTCTGCTTTCCAAAGAATATTGCATTGAAGTTAAATGCAAATTTTTTTTTTTTCTGGCATCTAAAATATCTGCAGCATGCCAGAGTTGCTCACCTGTAACTACTGTGACACTGTAATATTCTGCACTGCCAGCACTGGGTTATGGGACTCTTAGCTCAGTTTTTAAGTCTCCCTAATTAAGTCCCATATTTAATTAATTATAAAGACTATGCATTTCCAAGGAATTAAAATACAGTCTTTCAAAATCAAACAAATTAGTACCAGCTGCCAACCAGTGGGTTGCTTATGCGTTTTGCGTGTTTTTGTTTTTTGTTTTTCAAATTTCTGCTGCAGTTCTCTACATCCTGCATGTGCCTTAGTTTACAGGTTTTCTATTTCATGCTTCTCTAAACACATCTCATACCTTGCAGGCATTAAGCTCTAAAGCAGAGAGCATGTGAACAAATGGGAGCAGGATATACTGTGTATCTTCAGTTCAACACCAGTAAGACAGGAATTAAAAGAGATCTCTTACTGCTCTTAACTGCTCTAGCAACAGCTGCTCTTACAATTCAGAAGCCCACCCTATACAACTAGTGCAAAAGTCTAAACCATACTCTAAGACAAGGCTAAGGCAAATAAAGAGGTGTCTACTCCGGGGTGTGGCATCGGTTGTGTCTGGAGCAATGGCAGGATTATCACCTGAGGAAATGATAACTCTTATAGCCAAGAAATAGAAAACTCCATGTTGTCTCATGAGATCTTCCCTTCCTAGCAATGGTTCCATCTGGATCCCAGCAGAAGGTAGATTAAACAGCTTCTGTATGTGTGTCCTGAGGAGCTCTCTTTGCTTTGCCATCTACTGCACAGCTCATAACTATGAAGATGTTCTGAGCTAGTTAAAGTGAACAAAGAAAATACTATCTATTCTTTTCAGTATTAGGGGTCCTTGCTGGCTGTTCTCCAAACCCTTACATGTAAAATAAGTTTTACAGACCTTGAGAACATTCAATAGAGTGTAAATCTCTTCTTCACTACTGCAGCTCTTATCTCGAGAGCAGGAGGGTGATAAGAGAAGTATTTTCTTCTTTTGGAGACTAACCTGATGAATGCTAGGGAGGCAAGGCACAGAAAGGTGCCTGGGGTACTGCCCATATCATTGAACCCTGGATAAATGCATCCGTCAGGGAACTTAGGGGCTGCTACTCTGGAAGTTGTCTCAGGTGAGAAATATGCTAAAAATGTGCTAAAACTGAGTTAAGGAGTGAGCAAGTTTCTCTTATCTTTTCACGGACAATAAACAACCTGCAGAATAACATAAATGTGAGTGCAGCCTAAGCAGGCTGGTAGAAAAGCCAGCCTTTTATCCCTTTGCTCTCTTCCCCAGATGGTTTTTATGACTTAGATAACTTACCCATAAGCATTATGATTACAATAATCCAATTTATATATATACATTGTAGGACATAAATCTGCTTGGCCCATCTGCTCATCTTTCTTAATTTGATGCCAAGGTCTTCTCATATGGAGCAGGAAACGAGAGTCTATGTCCTCCCATAGGGCTGCTTGCAAGAGACACGAGAAGACTATATAATCTTGTAAAAGTGGCATAGCTTTCCTACCTGTCCCTCAGTGTAACAACTCCAGGATATTTTGAAGTATGCTAGCATTGGCTGTATTTCTCCTTTTGACTTTTTAATGCTCAGTTCTCAAAAAGCCACCTTGTCCAACAATTTCTGCATTTGTTATCTTTTAGAAGCGCTGTGAAAAGGTCTGGATTAAATTATACATGTTTTATATGTTAGATCAGGTATCTTTGTTGTTGAATTAGAGAACCTGGGTTTGAGAGGGAGGGTAAGATGATAGGTATATGGGAAATCACTGCACAAAGAATGGGGGCCAGAAGCCATAAAAGAGCAATTTGGAATGGAAAGAAGTCTGCCCAGGGTTGTTAAAGCACCCAAGTTAGGTTCATGATTTGAGTGGACCTCCAGAACAATCTGAATTTATAAATTCATCTAATCTCAGCTTTTGCAGACATCCTACTTTCATTGTTGGAAGTGTGTGGCTACCAGATTCTTGTTTATTTTTCTTCTTTTTTTCTTTTCCCCAAATTTTGTTAAATACGTTATTGCTTTGTGATATCTTTACCGTATAAATCATGCCAAAATACCATCCCTGATGTTATAAAGAATGAAACATCCATCTTTTCTTTGCTGACCAAAAGAAATGAAAGGAAATTGAGGTTTGTTTAAAACTTTCTTAAAATAACAACTAAGTAGTCATAATAATAAAGTCTCATTCATGAATTCATAATAAATATGTTTCATTCATGAATTATTCCTTGTAATGCAGTTTATGCCTGTTGTGGTTTAACCTGGCAAGTGGCTGAGCACCACACAGTTGTTCGCTCACTCTCCCCCTTCACACTGGTATGGGGGAGAGAATAAAAACAAAAAACAAAGTAGAACTTGTGGATTGAGACAAAACTACTCACTAAGATAGAGAAAAGGAAAAGCATAATAGTTATGACAAATTTAAATAACAAGTGATGCACAAGAAATTACTCACCACCCCCCAACTGATGTCCAGGCAGCTCTCTGAGCAGTGGAAGAGAGCTATATAAACTTCCACCCTCTTTAAAACTCCTGCATAATGTCATATAGTATGGAATATCCCTTTGGCTAGTTTATGTTAGCTGCTGTAATTCTGTTCCCTCCCAACTCTTTGGGCCCTTCACTGAGAATGACCTTGGCTCTGTACAACAATGCTTAGCAGCAGCTATAAATATTGATGTGGTATCAACATTGTTCTTCTGCTAGAACCGAAACATTGCATCATATCTGAAACTCAGAAGAAAAGAATTCTGTCCCAGATGAAATTAAGACAATATCCACCCCTTATTCCATACTATTTACATCATGCTCAGGTTCCACAATTTCTACACATCCTAACTAATTACCTTGTCCTATCTTGCTTTTTATTATATGTACACTCACATATTATTCCCATCATCTATGGTTTATTCATGTAATTTGTCTATGGTACTCATTTAGTTCAAAACTTTGGGCTTCATCTTTTGTAAAAATCCCTCAGTGTATTAGGAACCATTCTAAACCTATTTCACAAGACAGATTCCACAGAAAGAAGCAGTTCTCACCTCTTTGCCTGCATTCCTGTGGGGTAGTACCGGGAGCAGGAGATGCCATCCCAAGCACAGTAGGGATCTCGAGCCAGGCAGCAGTCAGCACAGGCTGTGCCATACATGTCGCACTGGTGAAACTTCACTTGTGCTATAATTGATTCAGTTCCAATGTAGAGCTGTTGCTGGAAAAGTATAACACATATGATTAAGTTGCTAGAACTTCCAATATGACTTCTGTAACAAGCGGAGTTTTAAAGAAATACTAGTTTCAGCTTTGTTGTGCATCCAGTCTGTGACCTGAGGGAGGCAGAGTTACTCTGTAGGAAAACTGTCAACAGTCTAAGCTCTCATGCATGAGGATGGAGGAACAGAAGGAAATTAGAATGAACAAATATGGTTTGGCATTTCCTCGCTTTTGAAGTTTCAGCTTTGTAAGCTTTGTGTTTAAACAGAGACTTATACATTTCTTTTTCTTCCTCAAGGTAGTTTCCAGTGCTTCCCTCCTTACGCTTCTGTCACCTAACCAATCTGCAAAAAAAAAGCTTGACATACAATATTAATAAAAGATCATATTTGAAAAAGTTGTAAGCAACCTCAATCTTAAAACTGGAGTTATCAGGTACATATTTAACTCTTGATGTACAATATGTTCACATATAGAAATGCACTGCAGCACTGTGATTTATATAATCCTTCAGTACAAAGGATGTCGATATTTTTTCTGCTAGTGTTCAGTCTTTTCTTACAAATAAACTGGTCACACTTTATCTTCTTCACATTTTTTTTTCGTCAGCATTAACACTAAGAGTGCTTGAGTCATGTAAGTTTTCCTTTACAAAGCAAATGAAATATGATCAGTGTGATTCAGAAGTTGATGGGATAATTCAGAAAAGAACATCTTGAGTTTACAGGGATTTGAGAAAAATCTTGTTACTGGTGACTGAAAATGGACTGAACTCAGAAATATGCACTGCAATAGAAACTGCTTTTGCATGGCTCAATTCCATTGTTTTTCCAATCAGAAAAAGGATTCCTTATGAACACTGGGCTGGGTTTATCCAAATGGCCAAACAAAGCACAAGCTTTCAGAATGCTATATTAAAATTGTTTAAAGCTGGAAAATGCAGTTAGCTCATTTAACCTGGCTTGCCTATCACAAACCATGAAATTTAATCTTAATAGTTAAATCTTGTCCCTGGTTACACCTCTTCTATATTTTAGGTTACTAATTTTAACTCTCAGAAATGCCCGTGGAAGAGACCAGAGAGGCTGGTAACAGCAAAGTTCGAATTCTTCTTCAGCTGAGATAATACAGATAAACAGGAACTCAATCTGATAACTAAACATAAGATCCTTGTTAGAGGGGAATTCTTTCTCTTCTGCCAAAGCTGCAACACGACTGTCCCAGAAGATGTGAACAGCACATTTAACGACACGCGAAAAGTGGAATTTTCTCTTTCATCTGCTAAAAAGAGTAAGATCTTCTGTACAGCTTGTTTCATCAGAGAACAGCAAAAAGCATCTGATATCTAGCAAACAGAACATCAAAGGAGAACATTCTCCACTAGCCACAAAGATAAACAGCTCAAGCCTGAAATAAGATATTTTATTATATCACTGGCATAGTGAAGACTAGTGAATGCTATGGGGTTGTTGAAACAAAGCTAGCAAGAGATCCCTATAGGATAGGCTCACAAACTCCACAGTTAAAGCAGACTAGAAAAAATATTTGGGCAGAGAAATTGCATAACTTTTTTTTTTTCACATAAATTATAACTAACTAAATTATACTTCTGTGCACAAATCTAATATTAAATACAAAATGATTTTGTTCCAGCCCTTTACACGCATTCCAACATTTAATTTTCCCTAGTGCCAGCAAACTGTATGCTATTTCTAGATTAAATTTGTCTATATTGAGAAATCTGAATTTACTTTTATTGCTTTGAAATCAGTGTTCAAAGCCTTCCCCCTCCTTTGCTACAACAGCAAGTTGCTAGGTTGGGTAAAATTCTATGTCTGGATGCCCAATTGTCTCTCCCTCTTCTCTTTAATATGTTGAAAAAGTACAGCTGCTTTTGCTGCCTGCAGGGACGTTTATTATTCAACTACTGAATAGTTTTGATGACACTTCTAGTGTTCTCTCCGTAGTTTCCAGGTGCTTCTTGAAATTGTAGAGTTAGAAGACCTCTTGGGAGTCGGGTATAATGGAGGCAGACTACTTCTCTTTTAATACAGCATCTCCTTCACAGTCTTCCAGCACAATCCGTTTACTATGACATTTCTCTGAGTGCAAATAAGGAAATATCTGAAATGATACTTTTTTTCCAAGCTCCCTTCCAGCTCAAACTATTCTGTGATTCTACAAAACATTCACTTAGTTCCAATGTTAGGAAACCCAGTCTCCGGAGCTCCTTTCAAAGTCTGTGGAAAAAATAAATTGATCCAGGAAATAATTCAGAAAAAAACATTAAGTTAGGATCCTCACCCAAATCATTATCAGAGGAGTTTGTCTTTCTATATTAACTACAAAAAAATGCAAGTTGACTAGCCACTAAAACTAAAATGACCTTTGGGGTACAATCAACCTACTACTAAAGCAATCTTCCTTCTTTGTCAGTTTTGTTTCACTGCATTTCTATGCACTTACATTGCAATAGTTGTCTACATTAAGAAATAAGCATCCTGGGATGTTTATAATGCTCCATCCTGAGATGGGTCCATATCTACGATAGGGTACAGATGAGTATCTATTTACAGGAATAGTAACTGAAGTATTTGTATTAGGAGAGGCTAGCAGAAACTCCAAAGGTAGTCAGGTCCAAACAGCGCTGCCTTCATTGGCAACTGAATATATGGGACATCCACTAAGGCTTATTTAGAACTTAGATTGCCATAGAGCTGAAGTCTATATTGCATTTATCAGCAAGGAGCTTTTCCTTGAGTTGTCATATCTACCCAGCTAATCTCTATAGTGAGTCTCTGACAATCTCTCATGGATCGAATTGCTTTTTTTACTTGTTTTTGCGTGAACAATACACGTAAAATACAGAGATTGATTTAACAGATTTAATCTTAGTATTGGAAAACATAAATGCTTCATAAAGGAACAAAAACCAGAACTTGCATTGCATAACAGTTTGATGTTTTCAGACCAGATCTTGTTAGAGATTGTGTGCAGCTAGATCCCTATCTGTCTATCTATCTATTTATCTGTCTAACCTAATGTTTTTAGCTTTATGACATCTGAGTCACAATTTTTGTATGTGAAACTCATCACTTACCCTTTTTGAAGAGATTTCCATGGAAATAATAGGAATTGGCACCTAGAAAATAGGAAACATCTTTGCTTAGAAAAAATAACGTGGCTTCACTATGAGAATAAATTAGGCAAAATAGCATTGATGTTTACTTGTATTCATCACTGCTAGATACTTTCATTTTTTCTAATTTCTGATCCTACAGAAAGATGTGAGGAAATTGTAGTTTTGGGAAGTACTGCTTTAAAATGGTTTATTTAAAAATGACAAGCCAACACTTATTTCAGAATTATAAGAGTCACAGGAACACTATAGTTTTCCTGTCAAACATAATATTATCTCATGCCATCAATTTTGTCCTAAATGAAAGTGATAAGTGGTATGTTCTTCATAACAAAACATTAATTGAAGATAAGATTAAAAATAACAGGAATTTCTTTTCATACTTTTCTCTGCCCTCTGTTCAGATTTCCTAGAGCAATAGCAAAACATAGTTCCTAACAAGTTTATTGAAAAAACAGCAGAAAATGAAGAATTTGTGTCTTAAAATAGACAATTAGAAAAATTATTGCAGACAACTGCTATGTGATGTTTGTCACATTTTTTAAAAATTAACTGAAATTTTTTTAAGATAGTTTTAAATACGCTTCATATACAGCATGGTTCACCTTGAATACTTGCAGCTCTTCAAGAATCACTTCTTCCATTGATTCTGTCTCTTGATTGTAAATTGTAATGACTTTCAACACAATTCCATTATCTGGGAAAAAAAAAACATAAAAATGCTGGAATAAAAAATTATGGAAACTTTTATTTGGCCTTCAAAGACATTAAATAACTGCTACAGGACACACATACTAATCTTAGGAAAAAATCATATATACTAATATATTCCAAAGACATCGTGACATGCTCTGGCCTATCTGGCAACTAAGCCATCTGAGACATCCCTGAGATACACGATAAATTAACTAGTATTTTTCAAAGTCTAGGTCATAACACTTGGTAATCTGCAAAAGGAACAAAAACAGTGATCATATCTGAGATAAAGAAATTACAGTAGGAAGGGGAGTCCATCAAGTCATGGGAGCGTTAAGTGGTTTTAATTATAGGACTTGAGTGTTGACACTAGTTAGGAAACTACTAACTATCCTTAATTTCTCACAGCTGCTCCATTCTTCCAGGCAAGAACACCAACAAATTCAAGGATTCCTTATATGCAGTCCTCTTTCTCTCACTGAGCTGCTGCTGAGCTGAAGGTGTTAATAAAGGAAAGATAAGCAAATAAAAATTGTACTTTCAAAAAATTTAAGGCACTTTGAAATTTAGATCTATTGGTCTATTTGTCATCACAACTCTTTTAGGAAATTAAAACACAAGAATGTCGTCTGATCTTCCACTATTTCAGCTTTGTTTTGTTGACTGTTATTAAAGCATTTTACTTTCCTTAATCTGAAAATTTGTCATCAACAATGGCAGCTACCAACTCCTTTCTTATGTTACTTTCTGTCACCTTTGATTTACAGGTGAAATATTGAGCAGACAAAGAATGGAAAAAAATGTTCAGCAAAAGATCAAAGATGCAAACATAAAGGGGAACTTCTTCTCAAGGAGAATATCTAAGGACATACATTTTGTGATGAATCAGTAAAAAAAATACAGTTTGAGTTCAGATTTTCATAAGTAATTCTTGTTTACTGACATGGTACTTAGGGACTTAGTGGGTAATACTGGTGATGAGTGGATGGTTGAACAGATGATCTTACAGGCTATTTTCAGCCGTAATGATTCTATGACTCTTCAGTATTGCTGACAGATATGTGGAAAGTTAGATGGTGTTCACACTTCTGCTTTGAAAAACCTTTCTAACATGCAGTTCTGCCTCAAGGAAGCTTCTGCTGAGCTTTAAGACTGCTTACAAATATTACATAGAAGGTGCTGGAGTCAGATAAAAGAGGATTAACTCTTTCTAATATTATATTGTCAAGAGAAGCAGGGAGCTTCCTGACGGGAACTTTGCCAGAACATAGATTGAAGAAATTGACTTACAGTTTCTAAAGGTCAAATTCCTATGATGAAATTTCTTGTCATCTGAGATTGGACATCTCAAAACTAAGCAGCTGTTGGGTGCCAGTTCAGAACAACCCTGAAGTGCGTACTTAAGTCTCATTAGTTTCAACTTTGCTGACTAGAGGACTTGTGTACAAATATCTGACATCTCAATCATAAATGCAAGAGTGATAAATATGAAAAACCTAGTAACCATTATTAAATCTGCATTAGAGACATAGGTGATATATGACACAATGTTTTATAGACCACACTAAATCCAGTGCTGAGACTGTACTGAGGCAATTTAAAAGCTTGGAGTACATAACTAGTATAAGTAAGCTTTTGCTGTTCTATGAGTATGCTTCTTCTGAGTGTTTTCAGCACTGAAAAGTGCTTATCAGAGGCATTTCATTAAGTAAAAAATAATTCTCAGTATATGCTTGCCTAGTCAAAATAGTCAAAATGATTTGTGTCACCACTCCTGTTGTCAACTTGATAAAATCTGAATATATGAATCCTTGGATTTTTTCCAAGCAGATTAGACATGACCAGTCATCTTTAGTTCTAAGTTTTGCTCTTATTTTTTCAAGGCTTCTTATTTTTCAAATACCATTAGAATGTGCTTTTTTTCTTCTCTAGCTGCTTATGGTTACAGCAACTCTGTACCATACCCCTGTAATGTAATTTATCTTATACTTACTTTTGGTAGGTGTTTAAAAAATTCAATTTAAATAAGCTCTCTGTAAATTTTGAAAACAGTGTAATGGAAAGACAAGAAAACTTGGCAGAAATTTTCTAATATATATTTTTTTAACTATACACTTGAGTATACCTACCTTCCTTCCTTGAGCTGTGTCAAAACCCAAGCCTAGAAGCTGTCAGTTTCTTTTTAACAATATTAGACAGACTTGTGGACTGCAGAAATGGGAAAGATAAAAATTGGAATAAACTTGAACTGATGTTTTTGAAGATCATATCACCTGTGTTTCTCCCAGAATCTAAATCCCAGCTGAGAATGTTTAGATACATGACTGTGTTGTGAAGTTTTAAAAATTCCAGAAATTGTATCAAGATTACTTTTCTGGGATGATGTTGCTGGTAAATTCTATACTTTAGTCTCTGTTCTTATTCTTTAGAAGTTTTTCCTACCATAGTTTTTCTGTGAAGTAACAGCAGTGTAGAATGACCACCCTCTTTTATAAGGTTATGAGTGCAGATTGGCTCAGTCATGACCAGAGTTATTGTCAGAGAGGGCTGTTGTAATGTTTTGGTTTTTTTTTACCTTAGAAAATTTCCTTCATCCTGGACTTCAAAAACCTATTGAAACAGTTGTATTTGTAGTTTTCTTTATTTTACCTGTGCCAATGAACAACACATCATATTGCCCGTCTTCAGCTTCCACTCTGTCCACAGCTATTTGCTTAAGGTTGTACTTCCCATCTGCTTTTACTAGAATTGGTCTCTTATGAACAGGCTTGATGGGCTGATACATCAATGGATGACTCCTGGCAAAATGGACAGCTTCATCAGGATAGTCTTTGGTGGTAGTGTACAGACCACCATTCACTTTGCTGGCACACTGCAAAAACAGAAAACACGGATTATCCTGAAGGTTTGCCAAGTAAATTGTCTGAGACTAGCATTGTTCATAGGGGTGATGACAGGTCTGCACAGAAAACCTGGCATTATAATAGGCACAGAAAAACACTATAGGATCTGTGACTGTGAAGTCTATGCTTTATGCATGTGTGAATTACGAATCATGAGAAGCCAGTCGAGGTCTATTAATCTGCTGAGAAGAGCCTTGGCAATCCCATGTTTAGAGTCCTTCCTGTCTGGTATAGTAAGAGCAGACTAAATATTGACGCATTCAGATTTTGGAGAAAAAAAAAAAAAAAAAAAAAAAAGCATGTGTTTCATTCTCAGATTTATATTGAAGTTGTAATCAAAATGGCCATTGACAGAGGTGGGAGAAAGGGGCTTCCTACTCCAGAAGATAGATAGTTGTCTAAAGTCATCAGGGAAGTAATTTTTGAAATCAATCTCTAGTTTAATTGCTTTGTGATCGCAAAATACTTTATCATAATATACTAAGCACGACTAAAAATTATGCCAGTGGGAACAGTAGTTCTTGATCTCCACTATTTTAACAGTATTAAATTTTATTCTAATTTCTATCTCATGATTAAAGTATTATATATCATGCTTTAGTACGAAATACCAGTGTTTGCATTGATCAGTCTACCATTTTGTAAAGCAAATACACTTCATGTGAATGACTGATTAAAAGAGGCTTATTCCTTTGGTCAAGTGTGCAATTAGGGATAATTTAATGTGTTAAATAGAGAAGTTAACTTTAGGATGCTTTGCAAAGGATGTGGTGTTCCTTAACTGCACATAGATTCTACATTTTGAGTTTGCTTCATGTCTAGTTGGAATAATTTATGATTAAGCTGGAAATATCTCAGTAACCATTTACTTTCTCCAAATATTCATAAGGCAGTGTGGTTTTAAGAAGCATTTCAAGCAAAGCCACATTAGCAGCATCTCCCTGCTTAAACTGGACTTCTTCAATCAATAAAATGAAATAAAATACTCATTGTTTACCAGAAACAGTAATTTTAAACTTGCTGCCAGATGCAATTGACAAGAACAAACTCCTGCTCTTCTCAAATGGGGCAATGGTTGTTTTTAATTTTTGGGCTTAGCTTCAGGAAAGTATTTGTTCAGTGTTGACTTTAAAGTAATTACATAATCAACCTAATGATGGAGTTTTAGTGGCTATTTACCATGCAGAGACAGAGCAGGAGCTTGAAGATAGGCTAAGCCTCTGCTTTCCATGCAGAGCATGAATACCATATCAAATGAATAGGGATTGTCAACTTCCCTTTGTAAAGTTCCAGTCTTAGAGAGATCTAATAATCTTTTGCAGGCTTCTTGTTTTTAATTAAATAAAATCTGCTAGTCTGGAATTGAAACAGTAGATGCAGCCATCTCTGAAATCTATGAGAACTGTTTTTGAGGTAACTGATGTCTTTTTCAGAAGCATCACTGTCTTAATACATTAAGCAAATTGTTTGAATAGCAACCTAGAATATTGGGGGAAAAAAAAAAAAAAATCACCAAACAGTGCTTTAAGGAGAATTCAGAGTAGCAAACTATAAAATCTGTCAGACTGCAATTCCAGCAGTGATTTTCTATTTATTTAGCTCTTAGCTATTTCTTATTCCTTATAGACTCCATTTTTTTCCCATTCAATAGCTGAGATGAAAGAGTGCTGAATCACAGAGATGCCTAATAATAGGTATTTCTGGCCTCTTGTCACTGTCACCTTTGTAATGGAAAAGGTAATAGGTAGTTGGGAGTTGGACTAGATGACCTTTAAGGTCCCCTCTAACTCAAACAATTCTATGATTCACCTTACCAATACACTGACCTGTTCTTTGGAAACAGATTATGGACTACAGTTTCACTTCTTGCTACTGGAAAAGTGTTGAAAAGACCTCTAAGCTGTACCCTTGATGAGCAGCCAAAAATGAATTAATTTTCTATTAGCTGGCATAGTCAGCCACTCCAGCCTGTGATGTGCTCTGCAACTTATAGACAAATATGATTAACTGATTAATATTCGAGAAATACTTCTTTTGGGAAAATTATTTGCTCTCTTTTTTTATATCTGCTTCAGCTCCTGTGCCTTGCCTGTTAGGGAGTCTTCAATCTACTATGAAAGAAATGTGGGTATTCAGAGCCAAGGAAGAATTGATTCTGAGTGGATCTTAATAGAGCCTTTCTGTAAATCATTGTCAGCTTTGCTCAATTGCTGGCTCTACGCTCTGTCCTTCTTGCCAACAAACGGTTTTCAACCTTCAATAAAAGTAATGCTATCTGTGTGCTACTGTAGCCATTAATACTGAATTCCTGCCTATTTCAGCTCCAGTTGAAACAACGTATAAGAGGTTTACTGCCTGCAGATAAAATGAATACTACTTAGAGAATTTGTATCATGCCATCTTTGTAAAATATACACCCATTTTACAATCCATGCATAATATTATCTCATTACTTGGTAAAACTGTAAAAACTGAATTTTTCTATTAAATATGTCAAAGAAGAAAACTTTAATAGCTTTGAATTATAGTGTTTTGCTCAAAATTTGATAAACAGTTATCTGTTTTTCCATTCTGACTCAATACTGATGATTTACGTCAATCAACATTAAGTAATAAAAAAACCAACAAACAAACAAAAAACAAACAAACAAACAAAAAACAAACCCAACATTTGGTATTGGTATCAGCACAATTACAGTGGTCAAAATGCTCAAATGGTAATATTTGAACCGGAGATAATCTCTTTTTTAGCATCCAATTCTGTACTTCGACTTATTTCTCTAACTCCAGTAGAAGAAGACATAAACAGTAATTTAAAATAAGAGAGGTAGGCATTTAAAATTGTACTGCAGAGAGAAAATTTGTACTGGCATGGACTAGATAAGCTAATAGGCCTTTTAATCTCTCATTCCTGTGATTTGGGGATAAATGTTTACTTCTGCAAATGATTGCTTTTAGTGCAAAAGAGAATACTGATTCAGTTATAGGAGGAAAAACAACACTGAAAGTAATGCTTCAGCAACTGCTTATTCCACCGTTAAGCTCAATAGAGCAAGTTCTTAGCCTACGAGAAGATAAAAGAGGTGAACTGTGAAAGCTATGTGTGGGTTTTAGCCAAACAGCTATTAGAAACGTCTTTGCATCTCACAGAATAAAATATCTGCACAATATGGACACATTAAAGGATAGAACTTCAATGACTGTAAAGAAAAGCTCCTTTGTAGGTCGTATTGCCAAAAGACATTGGACAAGAAGAAATAATGATGTTTCTCTCTGGGTTATTCTGGCATTGCCTGTTGTAGGACTTACAGCAGGAAGGGGAAGGTGAAGGAGGCCCTGGATGTGCACAGTCTGTGAAGTGATGATGGATGCCCGCAATGCAAAGGGCACCCTCACGCACCACTGATCTCCTCCCCACTGAGGTAGGACATGAAATTCCTGGGCTAAGAATATGACAAAAATAAAAACTTCAGAAACTTCTTTTTCTTCCCTTTCTTTTCCCTTTCCCTTTCCATTTCCCCTTTCCTCTTCCCTTTTCCTTCCCTTCCATTTTCTTTTATCTTCAGGATATTGGGCCCTTAACAAAAAATTGCTGAATTTAGGTCCCAGTAAGATTTTGAAAAATCCTGTATATTTAACTGCTTTTTCTTCCTAAGTTCATTTACATTAACAAAAGCATGGAAAATAGATTGTACTTACTGAACCAGGTCTAGGATAAGGTACTTTCCCTTCGTATAGAGCCCAGTGGTATTCTGGTCCTTCTTTATGAGCATATGGTCCATTGAAGGCTGCTCGGACGCTTGCCATATGGTAAACACATATAGCATATCCCCTAAATATATTGCTATGAAGTAAAATTCAGAGACATTGTTAAAACAGTATGCTGTATTTGCTACATGTTATACTGGTATTATTATGTAATTAAAAAGAAGTCTCACATCAACAGTATTCAGAAAGAAAAAGTACTTTATTTTTCCTGTATGCTTTTCTTGCAACTACTATATGCAGTGTTGTTTATAAAATATTAATATGTATATATGTTTATAATACTTCTCTGAGAAAGCTCAGTGCTTTTATCTCCAAATTTCAGGCTGATGATTGCAGCTTCTAAATATGAGAGAGGAATGGCAGGAAACTCAAAAAACTCAACTCAGGTCTTTTATGTCTTTGTGTGAGTGTATGGGAATGCTGGTCAGAATTATTAGATCATAAAGACTAATCTGTGTAGATCAATCTACATATAATATCTTTTTCCTTTCAAATTTTATACATCTGACACTCTTAGTTCTGGAGAAGCAATTCATTATTTTTAAAGAAGCATCAATGTTCCTTGCAAAACAGTTCTCTCTGAAGTCTCCAGAAGGTGATCCAGATAATTTTAGTTAGGTGTTCACCTCTTCCTGCTGGCATAGAGAGCCAGCAAGAACTGATATGTGGAAATTTCCTTAGAGGACTATATCTGTCCATCTTTCTTAAAAAACAATGAAACAACAAAGCAAAATACCGGCCATAGCATAGCTGCTCCTCTCTATCAGTTACATCCTAAAGTTAGATCTCCAAGAAACAAGCTTGCACTTGGATTACACTGATTTGGAAAAGGAGGCCACCAGCAACACCACAGCTAATGATTTAGGTTATGCTAAGAAGTTAACAGGAATTTAAGCTACTATCTACTTGATGCTGAATTACAGTGGAGCTCTTCAAGGCAGGTGGTTTTCATAGACTGCTCTTATAACCATGCAGGAGTACATAAATGTTGGCACTAGAAAATTATCAGTTAGAGAAATACTTAGTTAATTCATGTTTTCTGGGAAACAGATAAACTGTATCATGATGTGAGACTTCAAGCCACCATCAAAAAGCAGTTTTTACATTAACAAGAAAGACCACTGTGAATAGAACAGGGATTAAACTGTTTGCTATGTATTTTCTCTGTGATATTCATCATGAAGCTCTTCTGTCTGTTTGATAGCCTGTTCAAACACTCCTCTACTGCTGCTATTTTTTCTTCTAGTTGTTTACCTTGTAGTGCTGAAGAGGCCAAATATCACTGGATTTTTGTTATCACGAGTTTGCAGCAAAAACACATCCTCTGTAAAATATAAATATTATTAACAGCAAACTAATTTTCTCAGTCCCAAAAGAGGCACTTCATTGTTTGTTGCAGGGGTAATCTTATTTAACTTATATATGCTATTTTTTAATGTAGATATTAGATTCATTCTTTAAAAACAATACAATGAGTAAACCCATAATTGATGACAACCAACTCCATATGTCTGTTTTCTACTAATGAAAACATGTACAGTATAAACTAAGATGTGTTATCATGAATGTACATATTTTTCTACAATTATTTTAAGTTTGTTGCAGTTTAGGGTATTTACCTAATTCATCAAAATGCGTATCAATGCCATTTCTCCCAGGCACAGAACAAACTAATCTGGTTTTGAGGAAAGTGCTCCATTTATTCACAAGCATTCGCTGTCCTCCCATGTCATTCTGCATAAAAAGAAACAAACACTTATGGTAATTTAAATAACTCTAGAAGCACAAACATCTTCTCTGAATTAGTCTCTCGTATCTCTTAATGTCAAAAGCATGCATTTTCAGACCACATGTCCATTACTAGTACAGTCCATCTGCTTTGGAGATGGTAACATGCAAGCAAGATTGCACTGATCAAGTCCAGGCCTTATAAGACTTGTGGGTTTGTAAGAATTGTTAAATTCGGTATTGCATCCCTGCATAGATTAAAAATACAGCTGTTGTAAACCTTCTCTTTTTGGTTAACTGGATGTAATGAGTACGCTAACAAAACTTAGTTCTGCTTCAGGCACTCATTGCAAGGTTTAATGAACATTGTTGGAAACTGAAGCCCTGAACTTATACAGCTGGTACAGCTGGAAAAGTCTGAGGCAAGTACCTATAAGATGTTCTAACAATTTAGCAATTTTTCAGCAACTTTAATTCCCACTTTACTATGGCTGACACTTTTTTTTTTTTTCTTTTCTTTTCTCTTGGGTTTGTTAATAAAATGATGCATTTAACTCAGCAGTCAGACTTCAACTTTAAATAGCATTCTCAGTAGCTATGGCCTGATATTGAGGTAGGTTGTGTAAGTGCATACTGAAGGTTCTGTAAGAGGCTTGCTAAATTCCTCTCACAACTTTATACTACTGAAATTAATGGATTTTCTCATCTTCACATTGACATCCTAAAAAAAAAAATTAAAAAAAAAATCCATTTTCCTTAGAAAAGAAGATATATGCAGGATAGATGCCTCTGAGTTGTAAAACCTGTTACAACACAAATGAAAATGTAAAAGCTGATAAAAAGGCCGGTTCTCAAATCACTAGCTAGCTCTTGACTTTTTATACTCATGAAATCAAATTTGAAGTGCAACATACAGAGTGAAGGCTGTTAAGGTAATGTCTGGATGATAAATCATTCGGAGTTTTGGACATGTGGAGGAGAAAGATCTGTGGGATTTTGGTCTAACCCTTGGCTAGAGATAAGACATTTGGGTCAATATATTTCAGACTAGAGGGAGTTATCAAAATAATCTATTTTGACATATACCAGAACATAGGGCAAAGAATTTGGCTTCAGGCCTTGATGCCTTCTTGAATTCAGAAAGCCAACAGCCTATGAGAATGATAATGTCTTAGGCCCTATTTGGTATTCTGTATACTCTGTTTTAAGTTATATATGGACACATTTAAAGATGTCTTAACAAGTAGTATGTTGGTGGGCATATGTGACGCACAGTATACTTTGGGTTGAAGGAACATTTTTTATCTTGTATCTTGTTCTTTGCCCATTAGTTTTAGGAAATTATCTCCCACAGTTAGGAAGGAACACAATTTATTTCAAAAATTAAGTTGGATGCTAAGAAATAAACTTCTCTTTTCTAGACAATTCAATCCTTTGTTCTAGTTTCCTTTTTATGCACATTCCTCCTTATAGGATGTTGAGAGGAAGAGGAATTATATATTAAATAAAAGCAATTAGCTATTATTTAGAAAACAGTCTATAGATGCATCAGGAAGATATTTGAAATTTACAGAATCCCAGAATGTCAGAACCATGAATTTGGCAGGAACTTTTGGATATTTTTTAGTCCAACTAGTCTGCTAAATTGAGTCTTCTACAGAAAGTCACTCAGGGTCATAATCGGATGGATTTTGAATATCTCCAAGGACAGACACTCCACAACCTCTCTGTGCAACCATTCTAATACAAGAAAAAAGTGATTTCTTATGGTCAGATAGAATATAGATGTTTCAGTCAGTGCCCATTGCCTCTTGTCCTGTTGTATTGGCTACAAAAGGATATCTGGTTGGATAGCTGTCAACCCTGCATAAATGCAATTGAGTCAAGTCTGCTTCATGCTGACAGAGTAGAAAAGTGAGAGGAAGCATCAGAGAGAAGTTGTGGCTGGGCTGGTCCTGTCAACAGAAGTATGAGGGGACATCAGTTAATGTCAGCTGTGAGAGATACAGAAGGACCTGCTGACAGTGTTAGGAACAATGGAGCCTTGGTTTGAATTGAGAATCTATGATGGTAAATGAGTCCTGTGATGAACTGTTCTTACTGCTATCACATCAACTCAAAGAGACATGGAATTGAATAATAGGGTCTCTGAACTTTATTTTCATCTCTCGAGGAGAATTTGTTTCAAGACTAAATTTTGGACTATTTTTGAATTTTATAATATTTGAGGACATTGAGAAGCAGAGTTTTCAGTCAGGTCTATAATCTCCTGTACATTATCAGGTGCCATATTGCCTGGGAGAGAAGGAAAAAAGAAAGGAGAATACTTTGGTTTTTTTTTTCCCTATTCAGCTGGGGTATCAGAAAAAGGTTCTCACCACACACACACGTCCCACTCTGGTGTAAATGGCATGAGTGCTTGTCTCAGCCTCTAATGCTTTTTCAGTAAAGAAGAAATACACTTTGTTATCGTCGTGGTCTTCATTGTCAGGAATCATGTATGAGCCAACAAACTTTGGTTCTTCGAAAGAAAACAAAATTAAATTCAGAGAAAGTTCATTAAAACATTTTTTCTTTTTTTTTATTTTTTTTTTCAGTCCTTACAATCAACTGGTAGCAAAGAAAAAAAGAAATTGGAAGAGTCAGGGATATGTCAGTTGGAGAGTTACCTGAGTGAAACAGGGTGGTAAAAATAGGAAAAAATCAAATCATTTGTATGTGGATACCTATAGGACATGTGGAATACATTAAAGTAAAACTATTTTTATCACTCTGATTCACAAGTCAATATGTACGTATGTAAGAAAAAGATCTCTTTCCATTTTTTTTCTCCAGGGTTTGTCTATTTGAGTTAGGCTAAAACCTGGCAATAGTATTCACATAACAATCTCTAGTTCTATACAAATCATGCACAGGAATGCTAACTTCGGAAAAACAGCCAATTTAAAGTTCAGCTAATAATTGTAATACAAACGCATATCTTCATAGACAGAAGACACATTGTGTATTTTTTTGTAGTGAAATAAAATAAAAACCTTCTGAGATTTTCCTGCTTTCACATTTTGCTACAGAGTTGAAGCCTAAATACTAACTTTGGTGTGTGCTCCATAAGCTATGAATGATTTAAATTCACAGAATCATTGCACATTTTTTACTAACTCCTTAAATGAGAATGTAATAGTACATGTTAATTACACAGATGTAGTTCATGTAATTAGTACAATTTCTTAAGAAGCAGTTGGTAATGTAAATATTTTCTAAGTTCTTGTTCCTTATGAAAAATAGCCACTGTTTTAAGATATGGCTAGAGAATTTTTGCTTGCTAATTTTCTCACGTTTTCAAATATACATTTAAATACGTTACAGATTTAAATGTCAAATATGGTGTAAATTAAAAACAAAGTTTGAGGCACAACACAGAGAATTCTATACTTAAAGGAATTGCAGCTTCCATAGAGAAGAGCAACTTTACTTCCATATTGAAACATTTATGTTGTTACTACATGTATAGCTGATCTTAACACTGAGTTCAGCAAGGATCTAAGTATTGAGCTTACAGTGGATATCATAATATTCCAAACACGCTTTTATAAGATGAATTCAAGTATGATTTCAAATTCATGCAGGAAAAAAACTTTTCTCTCTCTTCTGATTCCAGGGAAAACCTTCCTGACATTTGAGAGGAAAAATGTCCTTTCTAGCTATGTTCATTGAAAAGATGAACCACCAGATGAACCACCATAAAATAAAATTATTGAATCTCCTTACCAAACGTTAGCTGCAGTTATGTCACTTTTAGGATGAATTATTGCAAAATTTTTGGAGTGAGAAAAATCCAGAGTCTGGCTCTTAATTGCAAAGCAATTTAAATTCTTTTGAATTCAATTACATTCCATGTTGAAAAGCATGAAGTATTTTCTAAGTAAGTTCTCCAGCATAGGAATTTTCTCAATGATTTTGCTTGTGCAATATTTTTTTTATTTTGCTTCTAAATAATCTGCTTTAATTTTTATTTAACTGTATAATCATTGCATATTTATTATTTTATGTTGTTGCATAACACCTCTTTAGCACAGAATGTGGTGAAGATTCAGTTATTTGATTGCAACATAAAGAGGAAATGACCTCTTATTGAAAAAAAGAGCAGCATGTTCTAATTAAAATTCTAATCAATTAGAAATGTTTAAAATAGTATTTTAATCATATCTGGAGTCATGAAATAATATGGAACATCCAGAGTACACTTTTAAAAGTGAAAAATGGAGGATTTCGAAGTTTCAGTTCTTAAAGCTAATATGTAATCAGAATAAAGCTTTCAGTTTGTTAATTGTAGCAGAAGATTAATGAAAAATTTCATGGGAAAAAAGCAAAAAAAAGATATTCTAAAAACATTTATCTCCAATGAGATATAGCCATGCAAGGACAATATCATTTAAGTTTCTGGATAAATAGAATTTCTCTAGTCATGCAAAGCACTACTGGTTCCATGTTCCTTCTTCTCCTATTTTCCGTACCTTTCAACAGGCGCTCACTATCTGGTTCTGTTCGGAGTTGTGCCATACGATTCATGGTGCGAAAGACAGCAGCATCTCTTCCCCAGTAGTCACTGTAGAGACCAGTAAAAAGTTCACCACCTGTAGACCACATACAAAACAAATAAAAAACCAAGCAAACGTGATAATTCTCTACTTTATAATGATATAATTTCCTTAAATACTGTGGACATTACATTATAAGCATGGCTCACTATTGTTTGCTCAAAAAGGGATGAGAAAGTGTCAGTAAGTTACATGCAATTTAAAGGTTTATAGTCACTGTTCCTATCAGCACTGTAGAGCTTACAGTTGAAACACTATGAGGTCAACAATTTTTAATTTTGTGACAAAAAGCAATGTCTTTGGAATAGATTTGCACAAAAAATGTGAAAGCATTAAAATGACAACCACATATAGAGCAATAACATCTGTAACATCAAGTGCCTAAACACAATTATCTCACTCTCAATTCAGTTAGTGCCTGGCCCTGAGATACCTACTCTTTATCAGAACCTAAGATTTCACCAGTGATGTGCCCCTGACCCACAGTTGGCTTCTGAGCACTTATAGATATGAACTTGTCTTGTTAATGAGGAGCAGAGTATTGCTTGGTCCCAGAACTAGATGTGGAGTTTATGAGTATTTTAGAGATGGAGTTTTCTCCCTGGTTGGAGAGATAAGAAACTGCACCTGCCAGTTTAGAGTTCACTTCTATAAAGAAGCACAAGTTTTATTAGGCTGAGATGCTTTCCCTTTAGACTGCTGGATCTGTTCTACTTTACCTGGGATAGCTACATCTGGCTGTATTTTGCTGGATGAAGTACTTAGGTGGTCAGAGGGCAAGGGAATGGATGGCTCTTAGAGGTTCCTTCCAACTCTAAGGATTCTATGATTCAATAATTCTGTGATTCTAAATAAGCATATTTTTCTCTGGCCTAGCAATGACTTTTTTTCATATCTATGAGCTATTCACCAGAGTAGGGACAGGATCTGAGATCTGCATATCTGGTGGCAAATATTTGCTGGCAAAGTTATGAGAGCAGAACAGGGACTGATTTTCAAAAGGGCATTTATGAATTACACAAGTGTAGTGAATTATTGTAAGATATATTGATTGCCAATAACTTTTGGAAATTTATATATCATTAGATATAAGCACTGAATACATATGCTCAGAAATCTGGCCTATCACTATCTGAGTCAAATATAACAATATTTTTTTTCTATTCATGGGTGTGATTCCCTATAAACTAATCAAGCAGTAAGAGTAATTTACTTCATATCCGTTAGTAATTAGAATATAAATTTCTTAGGCCTAAATTAAAAAGCTGAAAATGTTGGTCACTAGGTGGCATCCTTATGTCAGAAAACAACGCAGCAGGAATTACCCTGCACGAGAAGGAAATTAGTTATTGCCAGTTCTTGGCTTATCTGAGTGGAGATTTCAGTGGCGCAGTTTCCTACTCCTTAAGCAAAACAAACGACTCGTCATTTCAAATAACATTTGCTGGCATTTGTAAACGATTGCAGCAAAAGCAAGAATGTTGCTTGTTGGTCTCCCTCAGTGTGTGAAATTTGTTTATTTTAAGAGATATATATGAATTTAATGGTATAATAACTCTAAATAATTATTCTGAACAGTTTAGAGTAGTTTGGCAGCTGGAGCTGGTTCAGAGACCTCTGCTGAGCATAGTTTTCCCCTAGGCTTCGCTTTATGAAGAATGGATACTATCTTGTAAAATACACGGTGGTAATTCAGTGTAAAATATTGCCAAGTGAAATTAAAAGTAAGTATAAATTATAGCACCAGTGGAACTAATGGAAAGCTTTACTTAAAAAAATGACAACAACAAAAACACAGAGGTGCTTAAACAGAAGGACACACCAGTATCTGAATAATGTTCCAAGCAAATGTTAGAATCCTAATTAATGAATTACATTAGTCATAAATTCCTCTCTAAGAATTCGACTATATAATTTTTGTTTTCTTCTTGTTCAGTTTTTTTTTGGTAAATTATGTTGATGTATAATAAAAATGAGCCTGTTGTCTTTTCAACACAGTAGGATAGTGGGGAAAGTGCATTCATGCAGGCTAGACAATTCTTCACATTTTGCTAGTGATCAGTACTAATTAGCAGTTATACAGATATTCAAAAGATCAGATGGGGAGGCTATTCAATCTATTTGACATAGGTATAAAGTATCTGTATACATAATTATCTGCTGGTATGTCACCCCACCTTATACTGGGCAAGTTATCACTGATTTTACCTTTGAGATTCCAGGAGAAATAACTGAAATCTTGGATGGATTTTGTTCCACAGAAGATAATTTACAGATACAGACATTAAATCTGATTTTTTATAATGAAGTATTTCTAAGTTAAACATAAGTAACAAGAGTGAACAGAAGGCCTAGAGAGAGAGATCAACAATGTGGCACAAATGTATTAAGCATAATTCTGAGATCTCTCACACTTTTGACATTAAGCGGATCTTCTCTTTTTCTGTTCAATGCCTCTCTGCCCATGACTTTTAAGTGAATGCTGTGAATCTTGAAGAGTTAGGTTTTTAAAAGTGCTGATTATTTCTAGTTTTAGAGACAAGTTGAGGTTGTGTTTTGAAAAATCTTAGCACTATTTCTATTTTTTTCTCCTCTGTTGGTACTACATATCAGCTCACATCTATCTTAGTTGCAAAGTTTATAGTGCTGCAGATCACTGTTAAGCCAGTGTCTTCCAGGAAAAATCAACTGCAAATTGAGTGATTTCACAGACCATCACCATTCTTCCTCTTTTCCGGAAAAATTATAGCATCAGTGAGGAATTACGTGTACACATACTTGACAAATTAATGGCTACAGTTAAGTTTAACGCATTCTGGTTACACCTGAGGAAACAAGAATTAAGACTTTCATTTTTTGCCTTATTTAAACAAATAAAAATCTCATATCTCTCAAAACCAAACTGAAAATCACACATATACACACAAAAATAGTTTTAGCTCAAGTGATATAGTAGCAGTATCGTGTCCAGATGTGGAGTCCTCAGTACAGGAGAGAAATGGACCTGTTGAAGCGTGCCCAGAGGAGGGCCACAAAAATAATCCAAGGGATGGAACACCTCTCCTACAAGGACAGGCTGAGAGAGATAGGGATTAGATGGGATCTAGCTGTGCCTTAAAAGTCCCTAGGGACAGGGCATCCACCACATCTCTGGACAACCTGTTCCAGTGCCTCACCATCCTTACTGTAAAAGATTTTTTCCTTACATCCAACCTAAATCTACTCTGTTTGAGCTTGAAGCCATTTCCACTTATTCTGTCATCACAGACCTTGCTAAAGAGTCTGTCCCCTTCTTTCTCTAGCTCCCCTTCAGATACTGAAAATCCTCTCTTGGGTCACTTCACAGCATTTTCTCAAAGCCCTGCTCTCTCAGCCTGTACTCGTAGGAGAGGTGTTCTATTCCATGGATCATTTTTGTGGCCCTCCTCTGTACGTGATTCAAAAGGTCCATGTCTCTCCTGTATTGAGGACTCCCAATCCAGACACAGTACCTAGGTGAGGCCTCACCAGCACAGAGCAGAGGGGCAGGATTACCTTCCTCACCGTGCTGGCCATGTTTCTTCTGATGCAGCCCAGGATATGGTTGGCTTTCTGAGCTGCCAGGCTCATTTACAGCTGGCTCATTTACAGCTTCCTATCCACCAGTATCCCCCGTTTTTGTTTTTTTTTTTTAGCAGAGCTGCGCTTAACCCTTTCTTCCCCCAGCTTATATTCCTAAAGGGGGTTTCTTCAGCCCAAGCCGGTCTAGGTCAGTGAATTCAAGGTATATGTGCAATCATAAAAAAATATAATTATTTAAAGATGCATCAAATTAATACACAGGACATATATATAAACATACATATACACGTAAAGCATTAAGAGTCGTATCTCTTTTCACTGGTTTTAGGTCTACTTATATTTACCTGTTTTTAATCCACATAAAATGGCTTTTGTAACATGCGAATTTAAAGAGTATACAAGGCCAAGAGTCTGATTTTGTTCTTGTGTCTGTTAACTGCACTATCTATATAAAGAATAAAGCTACTTCTATCTGAAAATATTATGGATTAAGTACTTTTTTACTTTATTCTCACTGTAATGTCCGTACTACATCCATCTTACCTTGGGCTCCTATTACTAACAAAGCACTAGTATTTATTGTTTTTAATGTGATGGCTCTACAGCCCATGAACTTCAGTCACTGTTGGAGTTTCTATTTAACAGAAGTTCTCAAACTGTAAGGTAATTTTCAAGTTTTATGTGCTCTATCCATTACCATTAGTTTTACTGGACTAAGACACATAGATTTTTAGCAAATTTTATTTTTCACTATAGACAACCACAAAATCAAAATAAATAAGCAGTTACTTATCCAATAAATTTTCTGACTATATTTACTTTTTCTGTCACTCAACTTTTGTCTTCTGTTCTGAGAGAAACTGCTTTATTTTTAGTGCACTGTCTAAAGTAAATTAAAATACACAAGACATTAAGCTGCCCTAGGACTGCAAACAACAGAAACTATCAGAATGGATTTCCTGGATGGAAGGTTTATCATCACTTACTTGTGAAAAATTTGAGGTAGCAAAATATAGGCATAAGCTAATTTCTCAGCTTTCAAGAGGTAGTGTGATCTAAGTTAATCAGTGTGTGTGATCAGATATCAAACAGAGTTATGGCTATTGAAAACAGATGGTAGAGTTCACTACAAATAATTTTATTTTCTTTTTAATATGTAGTTTACCTAAATGTGCACCTATCTAACATCTGTTTTGTTTCCTGATGGTGACAATAAATTGCTAAAAGTTAATTGTTCATAAATTGGGAAATTCATTACAAGCTACTTTATGATAGGGTCAGATGACACATAATAAAGCTTAAAGGAACGTGGATATAGTTTTAAAGTCATGAACTACTGTTTACTTGAAGTGAGGATTTTAACTGAAGTGTTGAGATGGATAAATGAAGAGACACAGCACAATGTAGTCTCTTTGCTAATAAGTTAATTTAGCTAAATCTGTTTCTAATAAGGGATGGTGCAAATGATCTTTAAAGCTGAAGAACTTTCAAACTTTTATCAGAAGTAGATAAAGTTTCTTTGTTAGCCTAATCCTCACTGTAAATCAGTAGCTACACAGGTATAAATTGCTGTGTCAATGCAAGTTAGAGCTGTTTCTTACAGAGGTTGAAATAGGTTTTGGATTGTTTTTATGAAGAAAGAGAAGCTGGAATATGAAAGACTTTGGTAAAAGTTTTGCTTAATTTTTTTTCAGGGACTTGCACACAACTGAGCCTGAATGGAAGAGTGAAGGCATCTTTGAAAACAACCTCCAAATAAAAAATATTTCATACCAACTAAATGTTTTCATGTCCAAGAAAACTGGAGGGTATGAAAAAGAAGGGAATATCCAAGTGTTGGATGGAGGACTGGAAGACCAGTCCTGAGGAGTGCATGGTGCAGTTGACGTGTCCTGCCATGGGGTCACAGCCACCATCAGCTGGTACAAGAATTGGGATGAAGGAAGGAGCATTCCTTTCGTTAGAGTGCATTTGGCATTAGAAACATCAGTCTAAGTTTTCAAAAATCAATTAAAAGATTCTTTAATATTAAACGTGTTTGCATTTCTATCTTTGACCATTTTCAAACGGATATGTACAGAGGTAAAGGATATACAGTCTGTAATTTAAGAAGCAGCGTTAATTCTATTTATTCTGTAAGCTGTATGTTTCTGGATACATGGAAATAACTTCTTTAGGATGTTTTTCTTAACTATTGGGAATATCTAATTCCAATAGAATAAATATAAAAAACATGTCAAAGAATGTTGCTTTGTTTTTAAAACACTCTATAATTACTTGAAATAAAATAATTTCCATTGGATCAAGGAAGCCTCTAAATAGTTTTCTCAGGTCCTATTAGTCTTTGTGAAGTGGTAAAAGTTTGTCTGTTTTTTGGATATGTATCACTGATGTGATAAAAATATATTATTTTCCCATGTTAAACTTGCATATTACAGAACACTTTGTGAGACTGATCTTCTAAGTCTTTGACTGGATGTTCAAAACAGATCACCGTTTACAAAAGAAAGGCTTTTTTCATGAATTACTCTTTCAGATGAAACCATGAAGATCTGTAGGACCTCCCATAATCCAGGCACAGTAATGAATAGACCAGAAGCACAACAACTAATCACTAGTCTTGAAATGCTCAGTGGGACAATCTGGCTTCCATTTGAGCAAATAAAATTCACATTGATCTCACAGTAGGAACATGGTCAGGTTAATTTATTTACTTAGTTATGTCTCAGTTAAGATTGAGAAGGACTTCCAAGTTCATGAGGTTTCAGGCCTACAGCAAATTCCATGGGATAAGCCCTTGTACTCAGGCTGAGCTAAGACTGGAATCTGTTAAAAACTATAGAAGCAATTTGGAAATAAGAGTGGAGAAAGGCGTAACAATTGTACGTAATGGATTTTGGAAGGTCAGATAAAATACAATCTAATTTTTCCCTGATTCTTTCACGACTTCCTAAACCAACAACCCAAGAATTTGAGCTGTAATGTTTGATAATGGGAATGAACAATATTTTGATGAATTGCAGCAATCTGAGAGATTTGGTAAATATTCTAATTTGTTGTTTTAAACGAAAAAATAAACCTAGCTTAGAAAAATATGTGTTTGTCACTCGTGACTAGTACCTCCTCAGCACCATGGGTGATTTGTAACAATTCAGTTAATGATTAAAAACTTTAGCTGTCTAAAGTTCCAACTCTTATATTTTAAATGAAATGTAAAAATCAGTCCCTCCCTTTTTGTAACCTTGAAAAACTTAAAATTTATTTGATCCTTAGCCTCTCTTTTCTAGCTCTTTCTTTCAATTACTATTCTTTTTGAATGCTCAGTTTTCATTTTATTTGTATTCCCTGAAAATATAAAGCCACTGTGTTACTCTCTAAGTGTATCAAAATTCCACCTTTTACCTGCTGTTCTAGTGTGTTTTTAGCCAATGTACTATAATATTGCCATGTTTGCTTCATCTCACAAAATGTTCTCAGGAACAAATTACAAAGGGAAAAAAAAAAAACAACACATGGTTTACTGAACTACAACTTCAAAGTTCACAGCCCTACAGTGATAAACTTTCCAGCAAAGCAATGAGGAACACTAGCTCAGCACAGATATCTGCCACTGCAGGAAATACACTGAATTCTGTTGTTATAATTGTTGATTATATGATCAATAGAAAATCACTTGTTTTCTTAGAAGACAGCACAGACAAAAGTTGTTTCAAATTCAAAAATGCTATACATTATATAAACAATAAGTGCCTTTTAAAAAATAAATAAATAAATGAAAAAAATTAATGTTTACAAGATTATTCAGATTACATCCCAAAAGGTGAAAATCAGTAAGCTTTGCATATTTATCTCAGTGATGTATAAGGCTAAGCTAGGCATATTGCTTTGCTTTGAAATAAAGTAGGAAATTATTTCCAAAATTATACAATTACTTTTTCAACATCACGCATGCCATTTAACCTCTACCAACTCCACTGAAACATTCTTGCTGGAATGAATGCTGCCTGATATGTAACACAGCAGCACTGTATTAAGTGTGACGTGGAAAGCAGTGAAAGACTGACAACACCTTGGCATGCTGAAGAAAGATACTCAAAACGATAGATTGACATGACCATGAAGCTTGTGACATAAAGATCATTACCAATCAAGATGGAAGTGAAGGAAGAAGTAGGGTCAAAAGGGCACCTGCCTCGTCCTCTCTCAAATTTGTGCGATTCCAGTTGAAACAGATGATCCTTTGAAAAAAAAAAAATCATAGAAAACAGTGTAAGCCCTACAGGCAAATAAAAAAGTCCTCAGAGACCAACTTTAACTTTCTTATATCTTTGTTCTGAATTGAATTCATTAGGGAGAAAATGCAATTACTGTTGTTCACTGATATACTCATAAAAATTATCCGAGTTCTACAAATCACTGCTGTGTGTGCGCTGTCCCAAAAGAATCATTTAAATATGCAGTAAAACTGTACTTCTTTCATGTCTATGGGAGCTGAATATTTCTCTGTCTTTCCCCCAAATTACCTACACTTCAGATAGGAATCTAGCCATGGAATGTGTTTTCCCACTTTAAACATTTTTTCCAATGGTTGTTAAAATATATCATGCTGTGTTATCTTCTGTTTTTAGCTTTTACATGTTTACCTATCTTCTTCCTAAAAGTATGCTTAGAAATGTTATAGTTTACATAGCAGATGCAACTTCTGCAGAATATAGGCATGCAAAAAACATAGGCAGCTTTGTTAAATTTTGTTTACAAGTCATTACAGGCAGATAAATAATTTGCAATTCAGATTTTCATTTGGATTGCTGCTTTTCTCTCACCTTTTTTAAAAGAACCAACAAATATTGTCTGAACAAATTATCAAGTGAGAGTACTTTTCAAAAGATTTATATATTAACCCCCCCCCAAAAAAAAAAACAAAAAAAAACAACAACAAGACAGAAAACACAATCTATATAACAAAATGCAGAGATTTGTGAAGAATAAAAGGGGAAATAGAAAGAAGGCTCACCTACGAAGTCTCCATAAGCCACACAGACATAGAATCATAGAATTGCTCAAGTTGGAAAAGACATTACAGATCACCAAGTCCAGCTACAACCTAACCATACTACCCTAATTCTAATGACCCTCCTCTAAATCATGTCCTTGAGCTCCATATCCAAACAGTTTTGAAACACATCCAGGGATGGTGCCTCAACCACCTCAGTGGGGAGACTATTCCAGTGCTCGACCAACTTTTCTGTAAAGTTTTTCCTGATATCACTCTCCCCCCTCACCTCGCACGTCCTGCACTACTTGAGGGCATTTCCCCTTATCCTGCAACCTATCACCAATGGGAAAAGACCAACCCCACTCTAGCTGCAAGCACCTTTCAGGAACTGGAAGAGAGTAATAAGATCTCCCCTCAGCCTCCATTTCCCCAGACTAAACAGCCTCAGTTCCTTTAGTTACTCCTCATAGGGCATATTCTCCAAGCCCTTCACAAGCCCTGTTGCCCTTCTTTGGATCTTCTCCAGCACCTCAATGTCCTTTCTGAATTGAGGTGCCCAAAACTGAACACAGTACTCGAGGTGAGGCCTCACCAATGCTAAATACACGGGAAGATGACTTCCCTAGTCCTGCTCACCACTCCATTCCTGATACAAGCCAGGATGCCACTGACTTTCTTGGCCACCTGGGCACTCTGCTATCTCATATTCAATTGACTGTCTATCAGTACACCAACATCAACTGTGTGACTGAGAAACTGTAGTAGTCTAGCAGTTTCAGTTTGATGTAAGAGTTTTATTCAAAAGACTAATGAAATACAGAATTTTATCAAAATATTAGATACATTCAATCTATGTATTCAGCAAACTATCCTCAAATTCATGTTATTCATATACTTTAGCAAATGTTTTGTAAGGATGTTTTGTAAGGCATAAAATTATTTCTGACAGCACTCCCAGATCCCCTAGAATTGAAAGGTGAATGTGCCTGGACCTCTTCCTTACAGCAGACATGCCAAAACAGGTCCAGAAGGCTATTTTATGATAAAAGTCATGTTTTATTAGATTGCAAATTAAGTTGCTCAGTGTATCCCAAGGAAATATCTCAGTATATCTCAGTACATGTACACTGGAGAAAACAGAAATAAACAGAAGTTATAAGCAATTTCTTTCCTTTTCTGCTGTGTCCTGATGGCCCTTGCATAGTTATTTATATGTCCTTTTAGTCCTTATTTCCAGTAGCCAGAAATATGTACTTTTGGGAGGTACTGAAACCTGAGTATGTCTACTCTTTCTAATTTCTTGTACTTCTCTCCATCTAGATCATTCTCTTCTGTCCACCCATCCCACCGTACATCCTAGAAATCTCTTCCTCTCAGCACCTTCAGGTGCAATTGCCCACAGAGTAAAACTAATACTACTTTCTGATTAAGCACTCCACTCATGGCAGCTATGCTCTCCTGAAACCCTCCTGAAAGAAACATACAATATGCACAGTGAGCAAAGATGCAGAAAGAGTGATCATTGCAAATGATAGAAAGCTGTTAAGATGGCTAGGACTAAAAAAAAAAAAAAAAAAAAAAAAAAAAAATTATATATACAGGGCAAGTTGTAGAAAATTTGGCATCCACATATTGATGATTAATGGAATATCTGAACGCATTTCATCTAAAGGAATATATTCTTGATTTTTCACAAGCCCCTTCCCTTTAAAGCACTTCTTTGTTTACTTCTTAGATCACAAATGAGCCAAGCTGTTGTATCTATCTTTCATTCCCATCTATCTAAACATTAAGTGGCATTTTTTTCCCTGGGACTTCTGGAGAAAAATAAAGAATTCCATTAGTTGGATAGAAATGAGATGCAACCCAGAATACTGGAAAGTAAACCTGTTTCATATCTACTTGAAGTGAAAAAGCCACCCCCAAGATAAAGACAATAAGAAACCACCCTCGAAATAATGAGTCCTAAAGCCCATGAATTAACCAGGCACTCTCAATCTCACCTCCTCAGAAGCTCCTGTGTTAGCCAAATCCTGGCACATTACCTACAGTAGGGCCTGATGTTGTAGCTGATGTAGCAGAAAATGAAGTAGTATTTTTTTCAGTATATAATTCTGAGTAGATACTGGTGTTGCAAGAATATTATTTTTTTGCTGTATCAGCTACAATTGCACAGTAACCATTCCCATTCTGCATTTAGACAAATGTCAAACAGTGAAGAAATATTTCTGTGTGTGTGGAAATCTCAACCTCATTCCAAAATTTTCAAACATCGCATATCAGTTATTTCTTTAAATACTGTAATATTTTGGGTCAACAGTAGAAAAAGAATAGCAAGGAGAAAGTAGGGATAGAAAAAAAAACCTTCTGAAAGTACAAAAATGGACCAGGAAGTCATACTTGTAGTAAAATACTATGTAAAGTAAATGTTCTAAGAAGTTTTGAATGTGTGATGCTATTTATTCTCCAATCACATATAATAAAACTGTGAAAAAACTTACCTTCTGGAACCTTGACTAAAGTAATCGCTAATGAATTTTGTCAGTAAAGAAAAAAGATATTTCTAGATTGCAAGATGTAGAAGTAAGAGGGGGGGGAGGGGATAAACAGTTTCAAATTAAAAAAGTTTTGTAGACTTAATGCTTTTCATTATTTTTTTTCCCACAGGAAAAAAAAAAAAAAAAAAAAAAAAAAAAA